TGAAAATTAATTTGTCGAGAACAGCTATCATTAAATTAATATTTTGAAACTTAATTGTTATTTTTTTTCCTAAACTTTCTTTAATGGAACAAGCCCTACAACGTAACGCTTTCCCCTTTCAAAATATGAAGGGAAAAGTCTCAAGAGACAAACTCGAATACACGGAGAGAGGAACTTAACAATATACTCCGTCCTTAAGGTTTAACTAACTAATTTGAAGAGATTAATAAAAATAAAAAAATTACTTAATCAAAACAGATATTACATTATTTTTTAAAAAATATTTATATCTATCATTTTATATATTATAAATCAAGCAAATTAGTTTAGGAAAAAATGATAAATATAAATTCTTTAAAATAATTTATTTAACCATCTTAATATTTTCAAATTAGATAAGAGAATCTTATATTAAAGATTGGAGGTAGTATATAATTATAAATAATACTGCTTTTAACCCCACATGCATGGAGTATTATTTATAGGAATGAATGGATGGATCAGATTCTGATCCATTTCAGAAAAGGGAACACAATTGATGGACCAGATGCTACCACGTGCGTGCCTTTCTCTTCAGTCTCATTTCAATATATATGTATATATATTAGGTCGGCGTTTAGCTTGCAGGAATTCGATTCTTCCTTTCTAAATGATCAAACATAACTAATACGTCTTGTAAATTTCTTTCAAAGCTAGCCACTTGCTTTTTCCAGCGCTAAAATCAGAATTTTTTTTTAAAAAAAGAAAAAATATATTTGCAGTATCTCTTTGTGGGTTGGAGATAGAACAAAGCTTTTTCCGGAATAATAATGAGTTTCCCATTGGCTTCTCAACAATAGAATGCCGGGTAGAATTAGTGATGATAAATCGTTGTCAATACAAAGAAATATTATTAAATGGCAGTAACATTCTAATAATGTCTACATTGACTAATAAAAATTTCAGAAAGATGATTTAATCAATTTTAGTCATTGAAGTTTGATTCAACACAATCCAACTTTTGTATAATTCAATGGGTATTAAAGAAACGTAAGGATTGTATTATTTTGAATAAAAAACTATAAGGATTGAATTGTTCTTAGAACAAAAAAAAACTATAGAAATTAAGTTGTGTTGATTTATAATTCAGAGATTGAATCGATTATTAAAAAAGGTTTGAGGACCCAAAATTATAATTTCTTGTAAAATGATCTCAAATCAAATCACATATCTTTTTTTAAGAAGCCATTTTAATCCGATAGACAATTCACACAACTTCACACACCAGCTTTGTTTGAGCATCGGTTTTTTTTTTTTTTTTAAGATTTCAATTTAAATTTTTGCCTTCTTTTTTGTTTTATTTTTATTTAAACTCTTGTACGATGTATTATCAAAATTTAGAAAAATCAACATACACTTTTTTTAATAAACAACTAATTTAATTTTCTTAGTCTCCATGAATTTTTTGGTTAAAAAAACCTATGTGGATTTATTACAATAGGTACTCTTTCAGTCCTAAATAAAAGACCATTTTCGTAGTATAATTTATACTATGAAAGGAGTCTTATATTTAGGACCTTAAGAGTATATTATAAAAACCAGAGGGAGTACAGTATTTCTTCATCATGGTAATGAGTATACGATTAATATATGAACAACTTGATTCGGGGAATACACAAATGAAAGAACAATCAAATTAAAGAGCTATGTACGAGGTAAGTGAAATTATGCGTTACCCAAGATGATCTAAATATGTCCAATCAGAACATCAAATTGAAGGATTTATATAGAGCAACTTGTACCAGAAACTTTTGGTCCCAAAAATAAAACTTGTACCAGAAACTTACCATCAGATTCAAGGAACATAATGTGTTTATACCTAGCTAGTTCACCTTTTCAAGGAGCCGTGAATTCCCAATATTAACAATAATGCTCTAAAGTTCAGTCAAAAATAATCATAATAATAATAATAATGCTCTAAAGTCATATCAGTGTTGGAGTGTCCTGTTATGTAAGAAATACATTAAGGGCATTACAATGCACGAAGAGGACACTTTCAATAAAGCAAGGTCAATCAGAAAATGCATCATAACCAACACACTTAATCCACTTCGTAACTACAAGACACAGTTCCAGGCATTAGTGAGCATGATGTTATGTCATTCTATATATATCTATATATTTATACTAGTGCTTGACTAGGTCCATATACACGCACCTCTTCGATTCCTGATATAAGATCTCAACTCATTTTATATCTCATATAATATATATCATTTTCTTTCCAAACTAATTTACTTAACTTATAAATTGATATATATAATCTAATACTATATAAAGGTATTTTAGAGCGAGATTATGTCACATTTATTAATATACTTGAATTAATTAAATAAGTATTGTATTAGTTATCGGAGGAGTAATTTCTATTGTAAGAGATGGAGTTGAAGGGAAGCTTGAGAAAGGTTGAGAGTGGAATGTAGTCTGGGAATATACTACACATATGTAGCGGGGAGGTCAACTTTGAGATTGATTGATCAATAACAATGTGCCACTTACTTTGGTCGTTCAGCTGGTCAACTTTGATTTGAGGCGTGATATAATAATAATATATTTTTCCAAGTTCATTACGCCGTACTTGCGACGTTTGAAATGATGAGGATGAGGAAATTGCATTTGCATAATAACGGAAGAAGAAGAAGAAGATAAGTAGTGTTTGCTGAGGGAAGCAAAACTAGTTTTTGTCTGCCTTTATTATTGATGATCTGCTATTTCTTCTCTCTCTCTCTCTCTCTCTCTCTCTCTCTCTAGTGCCACTTTAATCATGCTTGTTAATCACAGTTAATGTCTCAAATAGATACAACAACATCTAATTTAGATACTTATATTGGGAGGTCAAGACCCGACTAATACATGAAAAGAGTAGGTAGGCCAGATTACAGCCCGGAAAAATTAAAAAGAAAACAACTCTTTTGAGGGTTTAATTAGAACTATAACCTTATCAAGGTCTTTTGATATTTTTCTTATTATTAACTGTTGGATTTAGGGTCCAGGACTGTCCTTGACAGGCCAGACTATTATTTGATTTGAGGAAGAAATATGAAATCCAATCAAATAAGAGGAATAAATCACCATTAAGTGCTGTGAGAGAATTGGGAAACAGGAAGCCTTCTAATTAGAAAATGAATCATCAATTAATTTCGTGATTGTGAATTGAAGAGCAAGAAAAGAACCACCCTGAAAAAAAAAGGGAGATCAAAGATCACACATTCTTAAAGCAGTGGTCATCCTAACTTATGACTACAGTGTGCCTCCCACACTTGTTTTTAACCCTAATCATTGAGCTTTCTGGCTCTGTGTGTGTGTGTGTGTGTGTGTGTGTGTGTGTGCATCTAGTGTGTTATTCTGGTTTAGACTCCAGTAATCTAAAACCATGCGTGAGCTTCACAAATTTTCGGAGGTTTAACCCGGATTTGAACATAGAGTGTTCCCTTTTCATTTTTCTGACACTTAACTATACTCTTCCTTATGGAGGCCGATCACCTTATGGTTTAATGGCACATAATTCACCTTTGTGGCATCATTATTACAAATCGTACGTTTAGTTATGTTATCACATGTACCAAAAATACAAAACTCTTCTTTATGAATCAAGAAACGTGAATTCATCAAAAGTTGGCTGTGTAGTTTTGTAAGAGACCACTTACAGATATAGATTGAACATCCTATCAAGTAGAAACAAGAAAAACGATGGGAACTGACTCCCGTACAAGAGTCGTATATGCTACGGAAATATAGGAAGGGTCCACTTGTCAATTACAATTAATCACTGTGTATAGTATCCGCAAATATATTAGCATTTTGTACATATATATTGAAGTATATGTCCATATATAGATTATCATTTTTCGATGTCTTTCTAAATTTCGATTACATACGCATAAGTAATTTTTATTGAAGAGGAAGAACAATTTACTGCCTCCTATTCCATTATAACTCACGTTGTAAAAATTCTTTTGAATCAAATATAAGTGAAATTACAAAATGTTTAGAGCATTAAGTTCTCATCCAGAAATATTTTTATAGTGGAAATTGTTTTGTTGATGAGTTTCTCCATTTTTATAAATGATACTGGAATTTAATGAATTTAATTAAGAACAAAACTTGAAAGATTAGTGGTATAATTTTTGAAAATTTTAAGAATAATAAACTGTTGTTCACTCTTTACTTAATACTACCTCCGGTCCTAATTATAAGAGCCAATTGATTAATTTGAAGAAATTAAGAAAAGAAGTTAAGTTAGTTATTTATAATAAATAGGTATTGTCTTTCCTAAAATATCCTTGCTAATTAAGTGTGTTGGTTAGAATTATCATTCTTAGAAGGACTACCTTGGAAAAAATGTATAAATATGAGAGATAAAATAGATTGGGGTTTTATATTTAGGATCAAAATAAAAATAAAATAAAATCTTATATTAAAGACCAAAGGCAGTATATAAGAAGTAGTTAAAAGTGACTTTAAATGTAATTAAGAGTATTTGAAAAAAAAAGAAAAAAAAGAAAAGAAAGACCAACACACGTTAGGTCTTTTGTTCAAACGGCTTTGATCACTTAAGCTGTTACGCAGAAAATCTCGAGTTCGAGTTTGTGTAAATATGAAAAACATTTTTAGGGGAGTTACTCACTTACTCCCAATTAGAACTGACAATCCTTAAATCTAAGTCAGATTCAAACTGACAATCCTTAAATCTAAGTTAGATTCGAACTGACAATCCTCAAATCTAACCAAGTCAGATAGTCATTACCCAAAAAAAAAAAAGTTCTTAGTCATCCAAAGGTTTTGAATAGTCAAGAATTATATTATTAGGAGGCATAACGACCAAAATTGGGGGTTCATGGATAAATGAATCCATAATATAAAATTGAAATATAATATGAAGGTAATATTATTCATATTTGTATGAAAATTCATTATAATTCATTCACAATTGCTTAATTAAATTAGAGAATAATTTAATATCATGCATGAGGATATAAGGCTTTTATGGCTGCAATATCATCAGCACCCAAAGTCCTCTTATTTTTTCCAGAATCTACCTCAGCAAACATGATCGCACTCGGATCATTGCTATGTGCAAGTCCTAGAAGATGCCCTATTTCATGAATCGCCACCCAAACCAAGTCAAATGCATCATCAGGCTGTGGTGGAACAAGACTGCTCCATTGTTCATCACCATCATAATGAAGCCTTCCATCTGTTGGTGGAAAAGCATGTGCCAACACATTCCCCGGGCCATCGAACGGAAAACTGTCGCCGTGATCGCTGCAATAAACCCCGATCACGATGTCGGATGCCGTGCCGAATGCCGCCTCAGCAAACGTGAAACTAGTGACCTGAGACCATTGTACGAATGCCAGCCGGAAAACAGGTCTTAGTATGTCAAGGGACATGGTCTCAACCTGGGAGGAATTGATGCTGTACGTGAGATGTCTCTTGTTTGGAGGCCACGTACGTGGTTGTCCTCGATAAGTATCAGGCACTCCACATCTACACTTCGACATTGCCTTCATGGTTTCATCATCAAGTTTGCCAGAAACATTAAGGTTATAAAGTTCCCGAAACTTCCTCGTTGCTGCCTCCATATGATCTTCTAGAGGGGTCGAGCCATTATTCTGGGCTAGATATCCGAATGCTTGGAGGTAGTTTTTAGCGATAGCAAGGTCTTCACTTGCCAAGCTTCGGGGCTGAACCATGGTTTGGAAATTTACAGAGAGGAAGAAGACGAGAAGAAGCCTTAAGATTAGGGTTTGTGTTATAGCTGCGACCACCATGGCTAGAACCTAAACAGAAAAACCGAATATAGGACTGTTTGTTTTTCTATCGCATATTTTTCTGTGTTCGCTTAGAGATTTATATACGCACATTAGATAACAAAAACTTTACGTGCATGAATTAATATATTTTTATTATAGAAAAGGTTTATTGAATCTTAATATGAATAATTGATATGCATAGTGATGAGTAATGTATGACTGTATATTTAATTTAAGAAATATATTTATATATCTGCCATTTGGAAGTAAACATTTTATAGTATGTCAACGACTTGCTTAATTATTAAATACTACAACCATGTATGAAGTTCTAACGTCTTGTACATGTTTATCCCATCCAGTTTTTTCTATATCGTTCATGATGATTAAATGGAGAATTTCTCACAGATTAAACTACTACCTCCAGACTTTAATCTAAGAGTTAGTTGACTAATTTGAGTAAATTAAGAAAATTAGTTAAGTTAGTTATTTGTAATAGATAAGTATTGTCTTTTTTAAAATACTATTGTTAAACAAATGTATTAACTAGAATTACCATTTGATGAAACTTTTGTGCACATACTACAAGGATCATCTTTAAAAAATAAAAAAATATGACAGAAAATAGATTGGGTCTTATATTTAAGACAAAATTGAATATTAAACTAACTTTCATATTAAGAACCGAAAGTAGTATATCTTTATATATATTCACACACTTTATATAATTTTTCTAAGTAGTCTTCAAAAGTTATAGTGTGTTGTGTGAAATGAGCTATTGAAGTACGAGAAACGCCAACATCTCCATTCTAACAAAATTTTGGGTTATTTTGATAAGATCGGGTTGTGTAATTTATTTTTGTAATTAAGTACTCCTCCGGTCCTTATTATAAGACCCAATTTGACTTTTTATTTGGTCCTAATTATAAGACCCAATCCATTTTGTCTCTTATATTTATGCATTTTTTTCCAAGATAATCCTTCTAATAATGATAGTTTTAGCCAATATACTTAATTAGCAAGGATATTTTAGGAATGACAACACTTATTTATTATAAATAACCAACTTAACTTACTTCCTTAATCTCCTCAAATAAGTCAATTGGGTCTTATAATTAGGACCGGAGGAGTATTATATTCGGGTGATCACTTAGTAACGCATTTCCTCTTAATATGCTCTCTGAACTCTGGTCAATGTCGTAAACAAAGTAAAATCAACTGCTCCTACATTTAGATATGTAATTATTAATTTTGTTTGTTTGTGCATGCTTATATATAGAACATTAATTTTAGGTATTTTAGAAAGATGATTATGGTATTTTAAGAAAAACATGTTATATTTCTTCTAATAACTAACTTACCTAACTTTCTTAATCTAATCAAATTAGTTAAATAAGTCTTATATTAAGAACCGGGAGAGTATTAATATTATATAGAACATTAATTATTTTTTAGTTTTAATTTACTAAAACTTTTTTATTTTTGGAATTTATAGACGCCCTCTCGAACTTTTTAAACTTCTGAGAAAACTGCAAACAAAAGATTCGGTAAATTAAAGGGAACGTAACAGTGTAATACTACTATGATTAAAATATGATGGGCTTTATTGACCAAAATCCAAACACGAAGCGCTTTTTGCTGATAAATGATGATCAATTTTATAGAGTGTTTGGATTAGTTTTTTAAAAGTGATTAAATGATGTTCAAGATAAATATGTAGTGAGAGAAATTTTATCTTTAACCGGCATGATAATATTTATTTAAATGTTTTTGGGATCCCAAACTCAAATCCTTGGATTGGCTGTGGAAATTGATTCCCAGCTCACTCATTGGACGTGATTAAATTGATTGTAACTATTTTCATAAAATATAACAAAATATAATTAAAAATAAAAAAATGAATAACAATAACGATATGACTTAAACATTTACATCCAAGTAAATCTGTATCCCTCATAAATTGAATATTTTGTTTTTCAGTCTAGTCCTTTATAGAATTATCTTCTTAATTTTATTCGTCATAAATGAAATTTTCTCAATTTGATCCCTTGTAATTTCTTAAACTTCCTTTTCATTATGGTCCCTCACAAATAAAAACCATTTATTATTTAGTTTCATTTATTTCTAGTGGATCTTTTTTGCCATCGTTTCTTTCTAATGGATTTGAAAATAAAAGTATGATCTTTTACTGCTTAGTACAGTATGTTAAATGATTTGTAATTAAAATGATTTTGTTTGTCTTAATAATGTTATTTGCAATCATTAATTGTCTTGTGAATAACTAATTTACAGAAATTTCAAAAGTCAGATTGAGAACATGAGAGATAAAATTTAATTAGAGGAAGAAATTGGTAAAAATGGATCTTTCAGTCTTCAAACTTTCACTAAATTTTCATAATATTTAGGAAAAATTTATCTTGATGCACTGTTCATGCACCTCTATGCAATTCCCCCTAACTTATTAATTTTTTTTAAAGAAAATTAGTGTTATCATTGAACTATGTAGATGAATTTTCATTCAAGTTCTCCGCATTTATTTCAAATTTGAATTATTTGTGTATGGATATAAATAAAGTAATATTTTTTATTACATTTTATTAAAATGTGCTCCAGTTGTTTTATTTAAAATCTAAAATACTCTGGCTAAAATACGAGGGTTAAGAAATTGACTCGCATGTTGAAGTTGAATATTCAACAAGAACGTGATGGATACATTGAAATTCACCTTTGATTCATTGAACCACCTCTTTTCCTTGTGTCTGCTACTGAATAGTGATTATCAATAAACTCTCTCTCCATGACGATGACGAGCTTGGAATTTGCAAACTCACAATCTCCGCCGTCCAATCCAACGCGCCGGAGCAATCTACGGAGGCAAATGCATGGGATGACCAAGCAATATGGAAGACTATTCTCATTTTCGTCCATTAATGAAGTATTTTAATATTTTAATGAAGCATGGCCATTCCTTAGCTGCGAAGTATCTCTTTATATATATAGCCAACCTCCATCTTTATCCTCTCACACTGCAACGTCAAGCAACAACATTATTCTTGTTCTATATTTTTGGATTCTCATATCATATTTGCTCTCTCACACATCTATCTCCTGCTTGAAAATGGTAGGTCATCATATTTATTCTTAATGTATAGTTCATCTGTTACTTTTTATAGGAGACAATTTTGGAGTATGATACATTCTTTTCTATAAGAGACATTGAGAAGCTGTCTCAAAAAAAAATTTTTTGGTTGATTTCACATTTTACTCCGTTTAATTACTCATATTATTTGTATTTAATCCCCACACCATTTCTCTCTTCCACACAAATGAGGGTGTTTTTGGCAAAATAATTAAATTTTTTACATATTTATTGTTTAAATTAATTTTAACTAATTTTTCAAACGACATAATTTGGTTAATTGCTTTTTATATAAGAAATGGAGGGAGTATTTCATTTTTTAGGTGAGCCACAATAGTTTGTTGCAGATGGGATAAGTGTTAGGAGCTCTCATCATTAAAACAAAAAAAAAAAGGGTGAAATCTTACTCTGTCAACTATGGACTAATTTGTGCTTCTTTTTTTTTTTTTTTTGGTTACGATTTTGTTGGAGCAGGCTTTCTCCCTTCAAATTGAGGTACTGATACTTTTAGGACTATCTCCATTTCTACTCATATGTTGTGTATACATATAGTCATCAAATTTTGCTCCCTGGTACAAAACCTTTCTAACATTGTACTGCTAAACTTTTGTGGACCAGAATGAATTTGTTCAGAACTCAGAGAGAGTGAAGTCTGTTGATCTGCATCCAACTGAGCCAAGGTAATAACATGTTCAATTCACCTATATCTTCTTAATATTCTACACCAATATAAATCTAGAACATGAATTCGAATGTTTCAGAATAAGGCAAAATGTCCCAAATGGCAAGACTTTCTGACCAATTGCTTATAAATGGTAACTTTTTCTCATGCAGGATTCTAGTGGGTTTGTATTCAGGAACAATTTCCATTTGGAACTACAATACCAAGGTAAGTATAATAAGAATTCACACGTCTACCATCTCCATGGAAAAACATTTGAACTAAAAGTTGCTCTGTATCTTCTGATTAATATCTGAATTTCTCATTCTTAAAGTTACAGTGAATTTTTTTAAAAAGACATTCATTTCAAACTTGATCCTGTTACAGACTGAAGAAAAGTCTTTCAAGATCAGCGAGTCACCAGGTAAAGGATCATACATAATGCAGCACTTAGTGGTGTTTCACACTTGACTTAATTAGTCACCTTATGCTTGTTCTGTGCACATTTTGAATTCTGCAGTGAGATCAGCCAAGTTCATAGCTCGAGAAAACTGGATTGTAGCCGCAACCGACGACAAATTTATCCGTGTTTACAATTACAAAAACACAGAGAAGGTGACAGAGTTTGAGGCTCACAAAGATTTCATAAGGAGTTTGGCTGTACATCCTACACTGCCATGTGTTATATCAGCTTCTGATGATCAAGTTCTTAAGGTTTGGGATTGGACTAATGGTTGGTCAAGTGTTCAAAACTTTGAAGGTCATTCTCATTATGTGATGCAAATTGCATTAAATCCAAATGATGAATCTTCCTTTGCAAGTGCTTCCCTTGATGGAACTATAAAGGTATATAAACATATCATACTGGCAAAATCTCTTTGACTGCATATTTTCAGTTCATGAACTCTCGTTCTCTTGTATAGATTTGGAATCTAAGCTCCTCAGCTGCAAAATTTACCTTGGAGGGACACTTAAAAGGGGTGAATTGTGTTGAGTATTTCTCAAGAAATGGCAAGCAATATTTGTTGAGTGGTTCTGATGATTACACTGCTAAGGTCTGTCACTAAAAATTATACTTTGTTCTTCTTGTTTATAATAATAAGGATTTGAGTGATTCTTTTTCATCAATTATAAATCCACTTTTTCTAACAGGTTTGGGATTATCATAATACTGAAAACGTTGTACAAACATTGGAAGGACATAAAAACAATGTTACAGCAATCTGTGCCCATCCTGAGTTTCCTATAATAGTCACAGCTTCAGAGGATAACACTGTTAAAATATGGGATGCTGTCACTTATAGGTAATAACTCATAATTGAT